TTATGTAACACAAGAGTAATGGCTCAAGCAAATGGATTATTAATATATGGGCTCAGTTAAAATATATACTATAATAGTATAATCCATAACATAAATCCAATCCAGGTAAAAGTAACAAATGCGTATGTGAGCCTATATAGAAACAGTCACCCCTATAGAAGGAGAGCAAAAATACAAATACAAAAATATTAAGTATTTTAAAATGCTCACCAATGGTATCTCTGTAGTATCACATGGAGTCACCTCAGGATTATCCAGAAGGAGTGCAAGTGCAAAATAGCTAGTATAAATAGTGGTAATCCAATGCTCACAAGCCAATAACCAAGCTGACCATGTTTGGTGCCAAATGTGATTTTAATAATTAGGTGTTTTAGATTCTCCTCCTGTATTTCTGCACATTTAGCGGTCCTCCATCTGCGCACCAGTGTCACGTGAGGGCGCGATGTCACGTGCATACACAGCCGGCTACAACCTACCATAGGGCACTGTTAACCTACCCAGCAGCCCAGAAACCTAAGGCATACTGACTCCACAAGGGGGGGGATGTGAACTACAGTCACCCAAGGTCGAGGCCGGATGACAAAAGGCCCCCTCAGCGCTCTCCTATTGTGGTGAGGTTGTTTTGTTTCTGTATAGGCTCACATACATATCTCTTGTTACTTTTACTTTGATTGGATTTATTAGGTTGATTATATTATTCTAGTACATATTTTAACTGAGGCCCTATATTAATACTTTTATTCTTTTGTGTTAACAAACCAGAGATCTTTTTTCATTTATGGCTTCTATTGCACTTGATAGATCCCTTTATTGGCTGCTGTAATGTAGTCCTTGCTGGTGGATGAATATCCGATGTAGTGCAACTTGTAATCAGCTTTTCTCTCATACGTTTAAAGTGATATTATGTATTATGCAGTTTACACTTATTTGATACATTGTTTTATGTTCTAGACCTGACATTTTGTCCCTGAAGAAGGAAACATGAGTTCCGAAATGTGTTGGCTTTGTCTCGACAACACTGTACAAGTTCTTTTGGGCTGCTAACCCTTTTAGCCAGTTGATGTACTGGACTGTCAGATTTTATGCACACTATGTAAGCTCTGTACGTGAAGTATGAACCATTGTATTGTAATTCCATTACATCAAATCATTTGGATCGTTTTATCGCGCTAATTTTTTGTAATAAACATTACTGTTTTATATCTATGTATACTCATTGTGGTTTTTGCCATGTAAAGTTCCAGGGGAATATTTCTATTTTTTTTTTTTTTCTTGGTCTTCATATGTTGGGATGTTGGCCAAAACAGTCTAATGGTGGGACATTTTACCATATTAATTTTTGCATGAGTTAATCAGTGGGAACACCTGAAAATGCTCAAATCAAGTGTGGTTTTTTTTTTTTTTTTTTTTTTTTTTCTTGTGTATTTTTACAGCATCTTTGAGCCTGTAAGAACTGGTCTAAAGTTTGTTTACACCTGGCTGTTGACTACAAACCTCTATCTTCATTTTAGATAGCTTGGACTATGCCTCACTCTGCCTTCTAAGGCTTAGACTACTTCACATCAACAGCCAATACCAGTCATTCAGATTCTGATTCAGGATGCATGAAGGCCACCACCAAGGGACTAGGGTCACTGACAAGCCACAAACAGGGGAAAGAAATACAGTAGCCATAGATTAGACTGGCATCAAGGAGGTGAGAGGTAGACTACAAGCTCAATTGCATTATGATGCTGCCATGCCTGTTGCTAGAGATGCTGTCTGCCCCAAGTTCATCTTGCAAGGGGGTGCAGCAGAGGAAAGCTCTGAAAATTTGTCTTCTGGCATTCCATTGTAGGCTTGGCTGGAAGAGGCACCAGCAGACCCTGCACACTTTCTCTTGAGCTTTTATTACCCCACCTGGCTTTGGCACCCAGACTTCAGGACAAGTAGACTAAGCCTAGTGCATCCCCAGAATGATCATTGGTGTCAGAAGGGAAACCCAGGCCAGTCCACAAATGGGTTGTCACTTGCTAGTACTGGCCTTTCATAAAGTGAAAAGGACAAGTGGACATGGATGGACAAGAGCCCCACCATTAAGGAGGGATTTAGAAAAGGGGGAGTGGGTGGAGGAATGCAGTCAAGAATACGAAGTCTCCTGGATGGAGGAAACACAAATGGTGCAGACATCAGTTTTTCTGCACACGTTCTGCAAGGGCACAAAAAATTTGTTTGCTGTGCCCTGTTCTTACCACAACTAGTATCGCATGAAGATTTTTCTTCTGCACTGGAATCTGCAACTTGTATAAAACACGCTGAAGTGTGTGTATGTGCTTAAGAAGGTAAACCTATTTTTAGGAATGACTGTAAATACCTTTTTTAGATCCTGCAAAAAAATGCAGTATCCTTGTCACTTCCTGTGAGCAGAAATATACCTCTCCTTTTTTTGTAAACGGTGTGACAGCCATGGCTCCCTCCATGGAGAGTGTAGATGCCATTGGAAAGGACATGTGGTGTTTGCATAATTGCCAGGTGAAAATAAAGTGTGTTGGTATTCAGGGAGACTTGGAGAACTAATGCAGCCTCCTCTGGTAAGTTGCAGTATATAATTTTTGGGGGTTTAGATTTCTTTTACAGTACAAAGCCCAAATATACCCTGGGGTGGCAACTTTCTGGAAAAACTGCTTAAAAAAAAAAAAAAAAAAAAAAAATCAGTTGCATGGATGTAGACTCCGATGCTTTACTTAACCACTTGCCTACAGGGCACTTATACCCTCTTCCTGCCCAGGCCAATTTTCAGCTTTCAGTGCTGTCGCTCTTTGACAATTGCGTGGTCATTCAACACTGTACCCGTATGAAATTGTTTTTTTTTTTTTTTTTTTTTTTTTTTTTGACAGCTTTCTTTTGGTGGTATTTAATCACCTCCTGGGTTTTTTATTTTGTTCTAAACAAACCAAAAACTGAAAATTTTGAAGTTTTTTTTCTTAAATTTTGTGAATAAGTGATTTTTCTCCTTCACAGATGTGCGATAATGAGGGGCACTGATAGGCTGCCCTAATAGGCAGCACTGATGAGGCGGCACTGGTAGGTGGCATTGATAGGGATTGAAAGGCAACACTCATATATGGCACTGAAAGGCAGCTCAGATGGACACTGATGTGACATTGAAGGGCACTGGCAGGTGGCACTGCTGGGGCTACACTGATCATCAGTGCCCTGATGATCAGTGTACATGTCCCCTCTGAGGAATGCCGATTACCAACTCTCCTCTCGCGCTGTCAGCGTGACAACTCTTGAGGGAAATGCTGAGAACCGGCATTTACTTATTTTATACGCGATCAGCTGTGATTGGACACAGCTGTTCACATGACCGAGCCAACGTCTTTGGCTCTTTACATGGATCGGTGATCTACTGTGTCCTAGGGGGTTAGGGTGGGAGAACCCCCGAGAACGAGAGAACCGCCTTGCGCCCGTCATTTCCTTCTATGGTGGGCGGGAGGCGTTTTAAAGGGTATCTAAACCAAAAAAAGAAGGGTGATGGATTAGAAAGGCTATAGCATTGCTTCAGTTTAACAGATATTTACAAGGATAAAGCATTTTACAGGACCAATAGGTTACTATATATGCGTGTGTATATTTATTTTGCTGCTACACCCTCTTAGGAATTTGGGCTGCTTTCACACTTATGCCCTTTTGCGCGCTAAAACCTTTCCAGGGTGACAGAAGCTCATCAAAACCATTCCCCTTTAAATCCTATGGGCCTCTTCATACCACTGTGCTACAGTTGTGGTGCATTTTGAAAAGTCCTGCATGCTGCGTCTTCGATACAGTTTTCAAAACTGCTCCAGATATGCCGTTCCACATTGAAATGAATGGAGAATGCAACAAACCCATCAAAAACACTGAGTTTTGCTTTTTTGAATCACATACATTCATGTTAATTTTTACCACTTTTTTGCTACTGAGCAGTGTGAAAGCAGCCTTATAAGCTGCAAAATAAAATTTGTGTTCTTGGGGTTTCGATATACTTTTAAACTCTAGTTACAACAGTCGATAACCAGATTAGAGAACCTTGACAAGCTTTGATTATGCTGAGCGAAGTCCAGTGCAGGCAGGGTCCAGATGTCTTATTAGAAAGCTGTTTGCACAAGCCTTTTAAATTCATCTTCATTTTCTACCCAGGCTTTTACTTAACTTTACTGTCCCAAGAATAGCATGTTGGGTACTCAAGCCTGACCTGGAGGATTTTGATAAGCATTTTCATATCCAGTCAGTGAACTTGCTAAAATTGAGGCTTGGCATCCAGCATTGTTGCACCAGAGTATGTTCTGGATGCTGGAACTTGTCTGGGTTGGGCATACACATACTAGGGCCTTCATAATTCAAAGCATATACTGCAAGAAGTTTAGAAACTAGCTACATTTTAATACAGAAATCGGACGTTAGCAATAGTGACACAGCTTGTGGTTCATGGTGGTCATTGCTCCTGGAATTTGTTCAAGGCTTTGGTTTGAATGGCTTAACTGCTAGTGTATGTATTTCAGGTACTTTATATAGCTCAGTCAATTTTATGCAGAGATATTTTATAGTACATTCACATCAGTCCCTAACCCATAAGGGGTGTACAATATAAGGTCCCTAGCTTACATTCATACATACACATACTAGGACCAATTTAGACACAGGCTCCAATTATCCTACCAGCTATGTGTGCTTATTATGGTAGGGCCTTTTTGGGTTGAAAGCCCTACCAGAGCAGGTATATCTAAAGAGTATTCTGTATAAAGCAGTTATCTATCCCAGTTTTATAAATAGAAAGCGTAAATTGCTATAATTAACACACTTAACCATATTCATGTATTTGAAAAGGCTGACTGATGCTTTGCTTATTGCATTCGCTCTACAGAATAATATAAACCAATGCATGTGTGTATGTTTTGCAGGACTTACCTTTTTCTTTAAACCCTGACCTACTTGATTGTTTCATGGTTTTTTTTGTTTGTGTTTTTTTTTTTCTCCAGGTGGAGTACATGTTGATTGCCTTTGATCATGAAAATCAAAAGGTTCGTTTAGTACTGGAAGGCGAGAACATGCTTGAAACACTTCAAGACAGAGGTGAAAAAACAAACCCAAAGTACGTGCTCTTAGTCTAGAATGTTTTGTGTATGGTAACAAGTCACCAAGTTAGTACCCATTCACATATATTCAGATGACATGAAAAAAACATTGCTTCTTATGGTGCCTGTTAACGGTCTGGTGCACTGGCGGTGCAGATTCAGTGCTGTTTTTAAAGAGTCCTGTCAGATTTCTGAAAAGTGCAGTCCAGTTTAGGTGCAGATTACAGGCTATTGACTTCTATGGGAACCGTTACTAAACCACGTGTGAACAGGATAATCCTGAGCTATTCCTGTCCTGAACCTGATGTGGACAACTACTGTATCAATTAGCTGTGAAATCTGAGCTTCAATCTGCACCGCACATGTGTGAATCAGCTCTTACCATGTACCTGGTGTCCCTAGCTGGTAAACCACATTTTGTAATTCTTGGGTAAATATAAATTGTTGTCTATAAGGCAGCAGATGGAAACCTAGGCTTTGTTCCCATATGGTCCTTGCATTGCTGAAAAGAGCCTGTTTACAGAGCTCAGTAGCTTAACGCGGTAGTAAACCGCAAAATATCAAATCTTCTCCCTACAAGTTAAGAGCATAATGTGCTAGTATACATTGCATATTGGGTAAGACTTGCCTGAAAACAAAGCCCAACAGTGGAGCGCTGACTCACCTGGACTTCCATCTTCACCCAGTATTCCTTCCAGGTTTGCTGGCTGCGGCCATCTGACTGGCCGAGCTGTGATGACGTCGCTCCCACGGCACGGCTCTGAATGGATGGCACGGTGTCCAGTGAGAGCACAGTGACTATGGCATCAACGGTGATGCTAAAGTAAATATCTACTAAAAGGTGCATGTTTAGCAGATATTTACTGTACCTACAGGTACATTTTTGTTGTTATACGCTTACATGTAACAAGACTTTACTACCACTTTAAGATACAGGCACAGGGATTCTTTTCACAGTGCTGTGCTCAAACAGCTCTGTATAAAGTATTAATGAGAGAGCCTGAAGACAAATGATTATATGAGAAGGTAAACTATTTTTAAAGCCCCATCTTTTTATTGTCTGATATCGTGGCTGATGTTGACAGGATTACCGTATTACTGTCCAGGTGGAGTGCCGACCTGACCTGGACCAGTGCATTTTTGTGGGAACAGTGGTCTGACCCCGCTGCACACACATCTAGCATTTTTTTTTTGCACTTTTTTTTTTTTTTTGGTGTGTGGTGTAATGCACCCTTTGCGACATATGCCCCATGATCTGGAAATCTGGCAAATTGCAATTTGTTTCAGTTTCTGCACCCTGTAAACTGATAGCTGTGGATCTCTGCCTGGTTTAACCATGTGTGGAAAAGGTAACTGTCATAAGACGTTACCTCCACCCTTCATTCTTTCTCTGAGGGACAAATGTACATGGCACTGTGCCGTGAATAGTCTGTTGGGCCCAGCCTGCTTTTTAAACATGTAATTCAAAGCATTTCTAGAGCAGTCGGTTAGTTCAAGAGTATATGCTGCTTTTGGAGGTTTGGTTTATCCCATTTAAACCTGAGCTTAGGCTGAAAAAGGCACATGTCTATAGGGTTAAAGTGTTTGTTTTCCGCATGAGTTATTGTGGCTTGTTGGCAAACACTTTTTTGTAGTAAAAAAAAAAAAAAAAAAGACCAAATGCAAACATCTGGATTAACAGCCATAACAAGCTATTCAAATGCATCCCCACAAACCCATATCATTATTTCCTCCCCCACTCCCTATAACCATGCCACTTTCCTAGTTTCTAACCCTTTACATCTTTATCAGTCTATATCTGTAATCCCTTCCTCCTAACCCCTTTTTCTCTGTGGGCCATCCTTAGCAACTCCACCCCCCTCCACAATCCTTTACTTCCCAGCAGTTCATAATAACCCTTTTTAAAGACCAACCACTTCATAGTCTCAGAAACGTTGTTACTTTATCCTCCCACAGATTTCCTTAATATTTTGTAATACTTCCTTCCAATATTCTTGTATCTTTGGGCAATCCCACCATATGTCATCGTCATTTTTCCCCACAACCTTTCCAGCATAAGGGTGAAACCTCTACTTGTTTATGTGCTTTACTCGGTGTGATATACCATCTAGCCATGCATTTAGAATTCATTTTCACTGTGCTCATATTTGTCACCTCATGTGCTAGTTTATAAAAATTATTCCTCTGTTGTTCGTTCAGCTTTGATCCCAACTCCCGCTCTCATTTCTCCAAGAACTGATGAGGGTCAGTACCTTCTATATCCATAAGAATCTTAGAAGTACCCCGCTTCGGGGGTTTTAATTACATTCAACAGCTTCTCAAATGGGTACTGTTCCTCCATCCTCAGTGGTTGGAGTGTTGAAACAAAGTGAGCCAACTGACCTTACCACCAATCATCCAATGTGAAAAATATCTTTTCTTTCCTTTTAAATCAGAAAAAATATGTATACTTCCCCTTCAATATCTTTTAAACGTGTATTCTGATCTTTGACCCATTTCCCAGAAATATTATCCTTCCCTGGTGGGAAATGCTCCATTCCCACCAAGGGGTCATACCAGTTTGTTTCCATCCTTTTTGATTTGTGCAATCTGGCTGCTCGGATCTACTGTGCAGAAGAACCCGCTGCTCCGTCCTACCTGTTCCTCGGTCCAGCGGTGTGCTGCTTCCATTGGCCATCCTTTCTCCCTGGCGCCGGCATCTTCAGTGAGGGCACCCGGCTGTGACAGCTTGCGGCTTCACAGCCAGGTGCCCACTGTGCATGTGAGAAGCGCTGCGCTTTGTGAATGTCCCCATAGTCTTGTGGAACCTGTCACGTGTCCCACAAGACTACTGGGGGGGGGGGGGGGGGGGAAGAGGACAACTCTGCGGAAGTAGAGGCGGGTACCTGTCAAATTTGGGTACCCCCCCAAAGGTCCGCAGTCTCTGGTCATCCCCTGTACTGGTGTCCGCCCTGTACTGTGTGCCCGCAGTCTCTGGTCATCCCCTGTACCGGTGCCCGCAGTCTCTGGTCAGTCCTGGTCATCCCCCGGTGCCCCAGTCTCTGTCATGTACCGGTGCCCCTGGTATCCCCGGTGCCCGCAGTCTCTGGTCATCCCCTGTACCGGTGCCCGCAGTCTCTGGTCATCCCCTGTACCGGTGCCCGCAGTCTCTGGTCATCCCCTGTACCGGTGCCCGCAGTCTCTGGTCATCCCCTGTACCGGTGCCCGCAGTCTCTGGTCATCCCCTGTACCGGTGCCCTCAGTCTCTGGTCATCCCCTGTACCGGTGCCCGCAGTCTCTGGTCATCCCCTGTACCGGTGCCCGCAGTCTCTGGTCATCCCCTGTACCGGTGCCCGCAGTCTCTGGTCATCCCCTGTACCGGTGCCCGCAGTCTCTGGTCATCCCCTGTACCGGTGCCCGCAGTCTCTGGTCATCCCCTGTACCGGTGCCCGCAGTCTCTGGTCATCCCCTGTACCGGTGCCCGCAGTCTCTGGTCAGCTCCTGTACCGGTGCCCGCAGTCTCTGGTCAGCTCCCCTGTACCGGTGCCCGCAGTCTCTGGTCAGCTCCTGTACCGGTGCCTGCAGTCTCTGGTCAGCTCTGGTCCTGTACCGGTGCCCGCAGTCTCTGGTCATCCCCTGTACCGGTGCCCGCAGTCTCTGGTCATCCCCTGTACCGGTGCCCGCAGTCTCTGGTCAGCTCCTGTACCGGTGCCCGCAGTCTCTGGTCAGCTCCTGTACCGGTGCCCGCAGTCTCTGGTCCCCTGTGGTGCCCGCAGTCTCTGTATCCCCCGGTGCCCGCAGTCTCTGGTCAGTCCTGTACCGGTGCCCCCCGCAGTCTCTGGTCAGCTCCTGTACCGGTGCCCGCAGTCTCTGGTCAGCTCCTGTGGTCAGCTCCTGCAGTCTCTGGTCAGCTCCTGTACCGGTGCCCGCAGTCTCTGGTCAGCTCCTGTACCGGTGCCCGCAGTCTCTGGTCAGCTCCTGTACCGGTGCCCGCAGTCTCTGGTCAGCTCCTGTACCGGTGCCCGCAGTCTCTGGTCAGCTCCTGTACCGGTGCCCGCAGTCTCTGGTCAGCTCCTGTACCGGTGCCCCGCAGTCTCTGGTCAGCTCCTGTACCGGTGCCCGCAGTCTCTGGTCAGCTCCTGTACCGGTGCCCGCAGTCTCTGGTCAGCTCCTGTACCGGTGCCCGCAGTCTCTGGTCAGCTCCTGTACCGGTGCCCGCAGTCTCTGGTCAGCTCCTGTACCGGTGCCCGCAGTCTCTGGTCAGCTCCTGTACCGGTGCCCCGCAGTCTCTGGTCAGCTCCTGTACCGGTGCCCGCAGTCTCTGGTCAGCTCCTGTACCGGTGCCCCCGCAGTCTCTGGTCAGCTCCTGTACCGGTGCCCGCAGTCTCTGGTCAGCTCCTGTACCGGTGCCCGCAGTCTCTGGTCAGCTCCTGTACCGGTGCCCGCAGTCTCTGGTCAGCTCCTGTACCGGTGTCCGCATGGAGGGAAAAATATGGTAAATTTGACTCTACTAGTTATCCTTGGTGAGAGCATAAGCATATCCTTGCATAGATATTTGGTAACTTCTATATCATGACCTCAATAAAATGCGTGCATTTCTTCTTAATATCCTCCTGGATCCCTTTCCTCACAATATATTCATAAAGTGTAATCCTACTATGCAATTACAAAAGCTAGCAAACAATGTATCCAAGCAGTTAATAACTCTTGCACATACTTGACTTCAGGGTCATTTCAGGTGAGAGCCTGAGTGCCAAGCAAAATGCGTGGCTTGTGGCATTTTGTTGGCTGTGTCCTGGTGTATTTTTTTTTTTTTTTTTTATTTTGTTGGCTATTTCAATGAATACAGTGTGGGTATGTTTTTTTTTTTTTTTTTTTTTTTTTTTTTTTTTTATTTTGTTATTTAGGGCCTGGTTCACACAATGCGTGTGTGGTGTGTTTTTTTTTTTTTGTACTTTTTGCTGAAACATGCTACAGTCCATTTTTAACATGGTTTCCTATGTCACATGTTCATATCTATGCGTTTTTTTGTATTGTT